AGTCCGAGAACAGATAAGATATACCCATCTGTTCCAACAACCATCATTGGTTTTACAAGAGGCCTATATGCTTGTGACCACTAAACGTCTGTCTTTGAAAAGTGTAATTGCCACTTTTTTGGATGTAAATATATGTACCATCCAGTACAAGTATAGCAGTGGGCTTTCCGTCTGCTAAAAGATGCTGAACAAAGGGCGTTGCGTGTTTGGATATAAAATCCTCTCTGGTCATGTGGGAAAATCCAAGAAATTTAGGCACAAAATTTTCCATCAAGGCATCTCTAGCACTAGCAATAGCTTTGGAAATAATGCTTTTATTTCTAATTTGGAACATGCTGCTCAAAATACTTAAAGAATTGCCCGTTCGTAATTTTGTCAGTAGCAGGGCAAGGCATGTTCTCGGTGCTCTGTTGCATGAAATTCTAAGAGGAGACATGTACTTAGAAAGAACATCAAATTGTGATTTTGTGATCCCAGTGAGATTGTAATAATCTTCATCAGATAGAGACTTTTCCTTAAAACAATACTTGTCAAGATTATGAGCGAATAATAATAATACAAGTATTAAACACATTCAGATTAAAAAATGTTAAGTTTTAGAGGGCACAATTATTTCTAAGATATTTTGAATAAGAACACAAGTAATTTTTTTCACAGTTGTATGACTTTCGAAAAAAAAAGACGTAAATATCATATACAGGCGATAAATTTCATATCAAAATAATGAGGAGATATTGTTAAAACTATATATCATTTATGTTTTCGAAAATCTGCATCAATGAAAACAATATCTGCCTCTTTTTGCTGATGATTTAAATACTTGATCAGATCAAGTGACCGAGTGCCTCTAAATTTAGATACACATTTTTTGCGCAATTTTGTTTTTTTAATATGAAGTGCACACGCAACACTTATTAAATTTTAAGGCAATAATGTATATTGTATGTGTAGTAACTGTGCAAAATTTGGTGAGTGTCCCTCATGCACTTCATACTTTGAACATCGATTAATGAATGCCGCCCTCTCGTGTTTTCCCATAGGCCTAATGTTAACGCGTTGAAGATACATCTAATACGGCGTAACTGCAGCAACAAAATGAAGATACTCTGCACTTATAGTTAGTACACATTTTTGTAAAAACAATAACCTGGTTCCCTGAACCAGTTTACGAATGCATTTGGCGCAAACTAATAAAATATACTGTACAGTTTCACTTTCATTTGCAAGTGTGTTTTGTTTGGTTTCATTTTTTGCCATTAAGTTTCATGGATTTTTATTTTATATTTTGCTAAGGAAATTGGGAAATTTACACCTTCCTTTTGGGAAAAAAGGTTCCTTTTTTGCATTGGGAACGGGGCCGAATATCGGCCCCAGATATAGAGAATCGAGAGCCCTGTAATTTTCCACCGAGCGTTGCGGAAAACTCGTGGCCTGTACTGTATATAGCTGACTGTCTTCGATAGAGAATATAATCGATTAATAAAGATTAGCATACCTTTTTTATTAACTGAACTCCATATGAATTTCACAAAATATTTATGATAGTTGCTTTAAAACTCCACTTAACGTATCTTTGTTCATGCTGTCTTAGCCAATTTCTCTTTACACAACATGATCAATTCCCGATCAATTCCCAAATTACTTGATGTACACATATGACATCATCAGTGGAAGATTTTAATCAAAATGACAGAATACATCATAACGAAATAAGAACATTTTATTTTTGTTAATGTTTACACGCATCTATTCATTTTCTAGAATTAAATTATATCTCTAAATACCAATATTACAAAAAAATTGTGTTTTAAAATTGACGTCATCTCATCTACTATGACGTCATAATGTAGCACTGATTTAGTCAAGGTAGAATAATTTGTACATGCTTTCTTATTCCCCCTGCGCACCTTATTTTTGTTTGGCTTTATTATTATCTCCCCCCAATGTGTTGGGACTTGCCCCTTCATTTTAATAATTTAATATATATTCCCTTCACCTAAGTATGCTTTGTATAAAAAATTTTAAAAATTTGCCTGTGGTTCTTGAGAAGTGGAAAATGTGAAAAGTTTACGTTATTTATGTTGACATATAAGATAACAGATTCATAAAATGAAATAAATTAATAATCAAATACATTAATGATAAAATAAATATCAACATTATTTATCAATAAAAATTTTTAAAAATATATGGAATACAATTTTAAATGAATAAAGATCAATGCATAAATAAACCGTAAAAAACTTATTTTGGTAGAGAAAATTTCTTTTATGGACGAATGGACAAAATGTGATCAGAAAAACTCACTTGAGCCTTCGGCTCAGGTGAGCTAAAACTACATCATGATTAATCATTTCAAAGGGTAATAAACATGATGTGATGAACACATTGCAAATTAATTTTTTTTTACCTTTTTCCTCCAAAAAGTTTTCTCTTTCACTGTCTAATTCACCATCCACCTTATTTGATTCGATTTCAGTGTTTTCATCTGTGTTTTTGCCTATAACATATCATGACAGGTTTTAATTTAAGGTAAGATTCTTCTTTAGTTTTTGACTAGATGGAATATTCAAAGTAAATTTGTTGGAATGTCTAATATATTTAGATGTAAGAGATTTAAAAGACCATATTTTTCTTTCCTCATCACAATTATACAACTTTGAATAGAAATGGTAAACTGCGTTTGAAATCTAGCAGGGACTTTATTTATGGTGGAATGGTGTCGTATGAAAATATCTTTTTTTCTGCCTCTCAAAATAATTTAGAACATTGAATTTATAGTTATACTTTTTATGTAATCAAATACCGTGGTACTAGACGAAATTTTCAAATGGAAGTTAAATTAAAACAAGAGGCCCCTGGGCCTTATAGGTCACCTGAGCATTATTCAACAACTTTCCAGTGACTGAATTTGATACATGTTTTAAGCCAGATGCTATAGCATTTACGATCTGGTCATCATAACTATACACTTAGCAGTTCCTTAGTTTGGTTACTTTATACCCATAGGCAGGGTAGGGGAACAAAAAAAGCATTTCAACTGATCAGTAATATTCAGCAATAATCAGTAGTGCCGCTACCACACATGAACCCTTGACTCTTTAGATCCACACATTGCACTATTTTTGTAATGGCATACTTGCTTTTAAAAAATATTTGATTAATACCAAGGAGCAAATTTCAAACAATTCATTCATTTTCAGTACATAAGTACAGCCCCCCCCCCCCCCCCCCCCACTATGGTACAACTGACCCTGGGGCCTTGAAATTTACAATTCTTGGAGATTAGGGATTGCTCATAACTATATAGGTAATTCATCTGCTTAAAACCTAGGAGCAAAGATGAAAATATTCAAAGATTTAATGTTTTTTCACTATACATGTATAATCAATACAGCCCTGCCCTAACACCAGAATCCCTGACCCTGGAGCAATAAAATTCACAATTTTGGCAGAGGCACTCTTGATCATCATAACTATGTACTTAGTTAGTTTATTTAATAACAAGGAGTAAAGAAGAAGATTTTCAAAGAATTCATGTATTTCCTCTATATAATCAATAGAGCCCCACCCTAAAACCAGAACCCCTGACCCTGGGGCCATAAAATTCAAAATTTTGGTAGAGGCACTCTTGCTCATCATAACTATGTACTTAGTTAAATTATATAAAATCTAGGAGCAGAGAAGAAGATTTTCAAAGAATTCATGTATTTTCACTACATAATCAATAGAGCCCCGCCCTAACACCAGAACCCCTGACCCTGGGGCCATAAAATTCACAATTTTGGTAGAGGCACTATCATAACTATATACTTAGTTAGTTTATTTAATAATACCCAGGAGTAAAGAAGAAGATTTTCAAAGAATTCATGTATTTCCTCTATATAATCAATAGAGCCCCACCCTGACACCAGAACCCCTGACCCTGGGGCCATAAAATTCACAATTTTGGTAGAGGCACTCTTGCTCATCAAACTATGTACTTAGTTAGTTTATATAATACCCAGGAGCAGAGAAGAAGATTTTCAAAGAAATAATGCATTTTCACTATATACTTATTTAGCCCCGCCCTAGTACAAGAACCCCTGACCCCAGGGCCATGAATTTCACAATTTTGGTAAAGGACTCAATGCTGATTACAATCATGCAAACAGTTTGACTGCTTGATGTCCAGGAGTAAAGAAGAAGATTTTTGAAGATTGCATTAATTTTAGTGGTTTTGGCCCCAAATCATGAAATTCACAATTTTTGTTCCCCTTCACCCATAGATGCTTTGTGCCAAATTTGGTTGAAATTGGTTCAGTGGTTGCAGAGAAGAAGCTGAAAATGTTCAAAAGTTTACGACCGATTGATACGACGAACGACGGACGACGACGGACAAAAACAGATAGCAATAGGTCACCTGAGTTTACTCAGGTGACCTAAAAAAGGGACTAATTAAAAGTTTTAAAATACATGTATATCAAATACAAATGATTTTTCATACATACTAAAACTATGTTGGCTTTTAAATGCTTCAAATCTAAGTACAGATTTGAGCCAAAAATCCATAAAAAGTTTCTCATAATAAACGACCAAAACTTTTAGTTTTTGTATCATTTTGTACCTTTATGTGACATTAACCTTACTATATGCTAAATCTGGAAAAGTAAAATATAGGAAGCATATAAAAATAACTAATAAAGCCTAATTAAAAAATTTAAGAAAAGTAGAGGAAATTCGGATGAGCAAATATCCATTTTATTTATATTATCCATGTCAATTTGGTAATATCCTCTCATAGGCCTTATACAGTAGTAACTTTTTATGCAAAAAGAAAAACATTTAATTTTTTGAATTACAAGTAGGAATCCCTTGATTGGAAACAGTAATTTTTTATTCTTAATGTCCAGGTCAAAGGTAATAACCTTAACCTGACCTTGCCTCTAATATTAAACGGTCAAAGAGCTCAGTCCACGAACCATGAAAAAATGCCTTTTGCAAAATATTTAAGACTTAATTTATAGATTTAAAGACTTTAAGCTCTTCATAACCGTTTTCCTTTTTTTCAATATCTTTTATACTTTTTAACAAGATGTATTTGTGAAACACTATGCGCCCAGCAGCAACAAAGTTTTAAAAAAATCTATTTTTAGCATATTAATCACAGTCAAGGTCACAAGATCATTGACTATGGTGTCCTTTGAAAAAACTTAATCGGTGGAGTATGCATACTAAATATGAAGTCTCTATCTCCTATGGTTCAAAAGTTATGGCTAAAAGTGTAAAGAGCTATTTTTAGCATAAAGGTCACAGTCAAGGTCACAAGATCATTGACCTTGCCTTCGTTTGAAAGGACTTTATCGGTGAAATATGCATACCAATTATGAAGTCCCTATCTCCTATGGTTCAAAAGATTATGACAAACAGTGGAAAAAGCTATTTTTTGGATATAGGTCACAGTCAAGATCACAAGGTCTTTGACCATGGATCATTTGAAAGAACTTAAACGGTGGAGTATGCATACCAAATATAAAGTCCCTATCTCCTATGGTTCAAAAGATATGACAAACAGTGGAAAAAGCTATTTTTAGCATATAGGTCACAGCCAAGGTCACAAAATCATTTGAAAGGACTCTATTAGTGGAGTATGAATACCAAATATGAAGTATCTATCTCTTATTGTTCAAAAGTTATGGCGAAGGTTAAAGTTGACAGCAAACAGAAAGACAAACAGACAAAAGACAGGACAAAAACAATATACGCCTGGGATCTATCGATCTGGGCGCATAAAAACGAGGTCTTGCAATATGGCAATGTTTTTTTTTAGAAAAATACAATAGGAACCTCATTTTTTGTAATGTAACGTCATGTCAATTAGGGATAGAATGACCTTGGTATTCAGACATATACGAATATAGGACTTTAAATGCAATAATAAGCATCAGATATTTATTTAAGTTATCAACTATTTAAAACAAAAAAGATGATAATTCTGACTGAATAGAATAAAAAATATTAGAAAATACTTAAGCTGCGGTTGCATTAGATCCATAAAATAGTTGATATTGGAGGCTTTTGAAAATCTAGATCTAATTACTGGTACATTACTTGAAAAGAAGTGCACGATAGTTGAAAGGATCTTTTTACTTCACATCTTTAAGAACTTGGCGAGCCCTTGCGAACGTTCAGTCTGTTGTACAGACCTCAGCAGTTAACCAATTTTCATAGACGAGCGAGAAATATCCTCGAGATTTGCACACACCTCAACCTCTCAGATATTTATCTTCGCAAGCCAGCCAATCGCTGGATCATGTTTAATCCAGTAAAATAATCGATAATGCAGAATAATGCAGAACGGTATTTATAATATGTTGGAAATACATTGTTATCCATTGACTTAAAGGTACTTAGACACAGATTTGAAGTTAATATTTTCTCATTTCTTCTGTATAATATCATGAATTATATATTTTAATAGCATTTCACAAAAAAATTAATTATAAATCTTATTTCATTTAAAAGTTATTAAAACTTTATATTTCTTAATTGACGGGTTTGATTGACACATCCTTGCACTTTCACAAATTTTAACTTTATTCTTAATCCTTAGGAAGTGGCAATTTTGATGTGTTTAAATGAGAAATTTAAAACTTTTATCAAGAAAAATAATTTTATTCAGAGTAGAAATGTTAGAAAGCAAAATACCTTCACAAGTATCGTCATTCCGAACTAAGAGATGCGTACAGAGTTTAGCAAATCGAGCACACTCGTGTTATGTATACACAGTTTTTGTAAACAGGGCTCGAGTTCTGTTATTGTTTATATTTAGAACTCACCGGGTGCGTTCAATCATCACAGTCTGCTTACCACAACTGCACGGACTAACAATATATTGTGTGTTTGTTTTGATTTTGAACGTGTCTACTCTGAATTTTCTGGATTATAGTACTGTATTAATATTTTTTTCATTTATACAAACCGAGATTGCCACTTTCCTAAGGACTAGAAATAAGATTAAATATTTGAGAGCGCAAGGATATGTCAATCAAACCCGCCGAAAAACTTATAATTTCAATATTTTTTAAACGAAATAAGATTTTTAATTAATTTTTGTGTGACATGCTATTAAAATATATAAATCATAATATTATAGAGAAATAATAACTTCAAATCTGTGTCCAAGTACCTTTAAATGTAATAAATTTAGTATGTTTTTTTTTTATTTCTGCATTGCTTGTCGTTTATCACTTTCCATTTCATTTTCACATTATAATTTCAATGTGTAGTTTTGCTTATGTAATTCTCATAAATACACGTACACGCGTCAAGATAAAAAGTGAAATACGAGTACAGACATATAATTTTGAAGTCTAGTTTTAGAAAAGTCCTGTAGTTCACATTAATGCTGATGTAATTGTATGTAATGAACGTCTAATCTTAGTTGTAGCGGACCCAGCAATATTCTGATATTAAATGCAGAGGAAGACGTAGTCCCCACCCAAAAATTTTCCTATACCT